ATCTTTAACGAGGTAGTAGCTACTGTTCTAGAATAGTAAAGATAGTTAATCAAATCAGAAAGGATCAACATTTGATTTTCCATGTATATATCAAATCCATCAGCAATACTCTGAAATCTCAACTACAATTAAGACCCATTGTAAATGGGCTAGGACATTGAAGTCCACCAAAATAACTACCACTACTGCCCATTATCAATTGCAATCAAAATAACGATTACATATGACCAAAAAGGGCTCCGCCCAATAATACAAGTCTAGAATGCAGCGGAAAGGCTATGATAATGTTAACTAAAACAAAAAGGCCCTAAAGTTTGGCAATATACATCATTCAAAAACATGTATATCAAAATAGAGGCTACACAGAGTGGAAAGGAAACTCAAGCCTCGGACACCTTCCCCTTGGGACCAACACCTGAACCCTCGCCTGAAAAATGTTAAATAACCACGGGGTGAGTCAAATTGACCCAGTAACCACAACTCCAATTCAATAGGTATCCAGGGAGTGATTACAAGATAGCTAAGCGGGCAAAGTATAACTTCAAATAATATATAAGTTAAACATCTTTACAGAAAACAATATATAATAATTCAAAAAGTAACTTGCATGCATAGAACTTCATCAACCATCCTTATAACCTCCTTGTAACCTCTGACAGAACCCATGGGCTATTCACACATAACAGGATTCATCTCTTTTACAAGACTGCACCAAGCTCTCCAATAATGAGGTGTAACTCGGCCAAAAGTTACAGAGCTCATATCGGACCATGGGTTCCCTTTCCTTGGAATATGGAAAGGTGTCATGTCCCTTGGGCTGACCCTTGACCCGGCCAAAGGAAGGGTGATACCGAGGGCCCTAAGAATGTTAATGCCAACCACTGGGCGCCAAGTGGCGGCTATACCACGTGGTATAATTAATCAAACCTCCCACTACTACATTTCAGCACAACCAACACAGCCCAATCCAACCATCCAATTCCACACAATTTCATATCCATAAAGTATTCTCAGATTCAATAATCAAATTTGTTCAACATCAACAAGATATTCATAAGATGAAATAATTCATGCCCACTTAACTAATAAATTTATCAAAATTTAAATCTTGATATAGATATATAAATTACTTTTCATACAGAAGCCACCATAACACATATTGAGAATATTTATAATATCAACACATGCTTATAATCACATCAACAAGCATACAAGGTAAATTAGAAAGTGGTTACCTCAAGTTCTTGACACAAGAACTAAAAGTAGGAGGATTCAAACCCAAGAGCCCAAACCAAGCTTACTCTACAATAATAAATTGATAAACATATATTAATATAAAAAGACTAATTAATATAGCATTAAAATAGTTTATTAACTAAATCCCCATAATTGGTTTGCTTAAAAAAAATTATCTTTAGAAAAATAATAATTCATCTATTCCTCCAAGTGACAATTCCTAATACTTCCCAACTCTATTTCTCTCATTCACATCATTGATAAGAATATTTCCTTTAAATCATCTAAAAACCTCCAAGAATGCTTACTTTAACTCTTAGAAAAATAACCATATATCAACTATGCCTTCAATCATTATTAAAATCCTATTCCCTTCTTCCATTAATCATTTCCCACTCATTAGAATCAATAACTTAGAATATTTTCCTCAATTTCCTCCAAACACCCAACTTCCACTAATTAAAGTCTCTCCAAGAATCATCAATATTACTATTTCAACAACAATCCTCAAAGTTTAAGCATTGGATCCTCAATATAACCTCAAATGAACTCAACTAAGAGATAAATTTCGAAATTAATATCATCATTAATACAAATCACAATTTCCCAACCAATCCCTAACTCACATTGCCTCAAATCAACCATTAACTAAAAATCTAAGTCATAAGGCTTCTATTCTAACTCCATAAGCTCCATTAATATCATCAAAATAAATTAGAAGCCTCAAATCATTAAAAATCTATCAAACCCTAACACATCTTATTTTCTGCCAAAAACTTAAAAATAAATAGAAAAAGTAGGAAGAAAATAGCTTATCTAAATAATTTAGAGGAGACCAAAGAATCTCTCCTTGCTCACACCCTCAACCTCTCCCTCTCACTCTCTCTCGCGACGGGATGGCGGACCAGAGGAACATGAACGCGAAGCAGCAATGAGACATTACAGGATGGGAGGCGGAAGAAGGGGAAAATAATGATTCAAATATAATGGGTCACGTGACCCCTTACCCAAATCCTTAGCTTGTTTTGTTTTGTTTTTTTTTTTAATAAAAGGTGGGTCACGGCCCACGGGGATTAACTCCCCCCCCAAAACAAACAGTGGGTGGCCGTGTGCCACCCACTGCTAATATATATATATATATTTATATATTATATTCATCTATATATATTTTAAATATATATTAATTATTGTTTAACTATTATTTATTAATTAATAGTCTACCGTAATTAAGATTAGCTTCAATGATAATTAATTAATCTCATTTTAATAAACTAAAATCTAAATATATATATTTTTGGATGTTACATATTTCGCTAGGCGGATTTGCTACCGCCAATCATTAATATAAAACTTAGTTAGTCAATTTGGAGAGATAAAAAAAAAGAATATTTGAAATTTCAATTGTTCTTTAGTACCACCTCTGATCCTAAATATAAGAGTTAGTTGACTAATTTGAATAGATAAAAAAATAAGTTAAGTTAGTTATTTGTAATAAATATGTATTGTATTTCCTAAAAAGGTCTCATATTTATGATCAAAATAAAAATCAAATGAGGTATTATATTAAGAACCGGAAGTACTATATTTCTTTAACTTTTAACTAGATCATTTTAGTCAACCCAAACACATAACTAAAAATGTTTAAAGGTTTTGGTTTTTATTTGATTCAGTTTTAGATAAAACTTGAACCAAACCATACGAATCGGTTTGCACAAAAGATAGCACGTGATCGATTTTTTCATAAAGTCGGTTTTGACTTGGTTTTTGGATTGATATATCTGGCTCAAGTGTAGATCTAAGTTCTCTTGAATTCTTGTTAATATAAAATATTTATATTTATTAATTTCTTCTAAACTAATTTGCTTCAATTATAAATTGACATATAACTTAACAATACACATAAGTATTTTAGAGAATAACATATATTATAATTAAGTAATTTAAGAACCTCTTTAATCTCTCCAAATTATTCAACTAGGTCCTATATTAAGGATCAGAAATAGTATTTGAAAAGAAAAGGAGTCTATAAATGAGTTGATATGCAAATTTGTCCCGAAAGCTTATATTCAGGAACGTTAGACATTCAAAAGTTTTTTTTTGGGATGCAAAATTACCCCAAAAAATTGAAGTCATAGTAATTTTTTTCCTCTAATATTAAAAAACTAATATTAATCCTAAAAATGATAACATTAAGCATTAAAAATCTTGGTTTTAAACTTTAGGACAATTTTTTTCCAAAAAATATTGAAAAAAATGATGGAAAAATAAATGATCATTGAATTTGGAAATTCCCAATTAGTTACTTGAATAAGAGAAATTCACATTTAAACATGCATGATAAAATGGGGATTTGTATTTTAATAGAATGATCATACCGTTTTTATGATTTTTTAAAAATAATCTTAAATCTCTCTCACCGTTTGACCAACCACTAGAGTTTTGGCCTTAGCAGCCTATGTATAAGTCTAGGTAGGTTGTCGGTTACCAGAACTTCAACGATTAATCACTGAAGCTCTAGCATTATAAGAGTTGTTGACATTGTTATACGACTTGTTAACTACATTATTAAATTTCTAGAAATGTCAATTTTTGAATTTTTTTAAAAATTTGTTATTGTTGATGATACCCAATTTATTTATAATATTAAAGAACTTGTAACCATGCTACAAGACTTGAGAAATTTCTCATTTATTATGTCATAACTAATCTTTAAAAGTGTAAAAAGCTCTTAAATTACGTGATTAATGACATTATGAATGTTGTTAATGACATTAATGAAGTTGTTAGTATTATTATAAAAGTGAACTAGGATTTTTTCGATATTCGTAATGTGATTAACACCTCTTATAACAATATTTATAACTCCATTAATGTCATTATGTGTTTTTTTTAATGTTTTTAAATTAAGATTTTTTTCAACATTCTAAATGATTAATGATTATTATAATGATATTAATAACCCTAATAATGTTATTGATAACTTCATGACGCCACTAATTATGTGATCATGTAACATGGTTAATAAGTTTTTTAATATTATTAATAATTTCGGTATAACTGTTAATAATAAATTTTTCAGAAAATTTAAAAAGTGACTTTTTTATACTTCTATTAACGTAGTTAACAAGTCATATGACGACATTAATAACTCTTATGACCCTAGAGCTTTAGTGACCAATCATCGAAGTTTTGATAACTGGTAACCCACTTGAACTCAGGTATGAACCATCATTCTTAGAGCTTCATTGGTTAGCTAAAAGGTGAGCGAGACAAAAGATTGTTTTTTTTAAAAAAATTCATAAAGACAACATCTGTCAAATTATAAAATTTGTATTTAGTCATGTGAGTAAGATGGGATTTTTTTTTATTCAAACAATTATTTGAAAATTTTCAAATTCCACAATTAATTTTTAGAAAAATTTTGAAAAAAATAATGATTGAATTTTAAAATTTCAAATCAGAAATTACTAAAAAAATAAGTTATTATTTATTTTTTAAGTATAATCATTTTTTTATGAATATAATAGCTAATTTAAAATTTCACTGTCATTTTTGTGGAGATATTTTATTATTTTTCCATCATTTTGTCAATAATATTTCTGGGTGCCAGCCCCTCAATTGTAAATAAACGGGGAAGGTGCGCGTGCTTTTTGAACTCGGGCACTAGCAGACACAAACCGTAGAGGAACCGATCGGCACCTACGCGACGCGACCGACGTGGGGCCTCCTTTTGAGCTCTCGTTCCGGAGACGAAAGAGGAACGGTGGTTTCTGTAACTCGAAACTCTCCAAAACCCTAGCCTTTAGCTCCTTGGCAAGTGCCGACGGAAGGTACCTATCAGAAGATTTAACTGAAAATTCAAATCCTAAATCGAATGGGGAAGAGAAAGGAACGTCGTCTTGCTGCTTTAAGCAACGCTGGTCGCAGAGTCAAACTCGATCTCTTTGCGGAACCCTCTGGTATCCGGCAAGCTTTCATGTTTTACTCGCTAATTAGCTTGTTCTTCTTTCTTTCACTGTTTTTTTTTTTTTTGAAATTTTTATTTTCACTTTCCCATTTCGGTTTGTTAAATTTCCTGGGTTTTATAACCAATTATGGTTGAATTATTTCCATATGCATGGAAATCAAACCGGGGCTTGTGGTGCAATTTGTGGTTTTTCTAACACTTCTTGGTTTCATTCTCAAGTGATGCTTAATTTGCTTGTGTTTTGTAGAACTTACGTGGCTCTGAGTTTAAATGGGTTTGTGAGGGTGACCGTAAATTTTTTCTTTTCTTACCTAAAAGCACAAAAGGCATTTAATTTAATACATATTTATATTTAATGCATTTGATGCTTTCTCTTGGGGCCTGAACACTAAATTGAAACCAAATAGAGAAGAATTATAGCCTTGGGGAATTTGTTTTATACTGTTTGAAGCCAGATTGGACGTCACTCGTGTATAGAGTTTATATTCATGCATGCACAAGAATTGCTTTGTCAAAGTTAATGTTTGTTTTGAATGTAATTCCTTATATTGGATCCATTGAGACGTCTAGTTGTATTTGAAAGTTTATCTAATATCGGGGAAATAGTTAGATAAGACAACAAACTTAGTAATCTAAAGATAGCTGATTTAATATCGTATCGTAGTCTGATATACTACAGTATGGTTGTACGGTTTTTTCCCCCCATGTGCTGCCTTGTCTTGGACTGGCTTTGTAGTTTGTGATATTTGTTTTGCCAATGGTGATGCTTTCAACTTATCAGGATTTGATTTTAGGGAGTTATATCAGTTTGTTCTTTTTTTTTCCGGAAGATTTTCTCCTCATTTATAATTTTGAGACAGAAGACGCGAGTTTTTATTTCTATTATTTGTTAATCCGTTAATTTTTTTGGGGGTCCAAATGGGAACAAAAAACGTTGGGTGACAGTTTATGTTTGCATGCCCTTGCTTTTCAGCGCTACAAATAATCTTCAAAGAATGCGTCATGGTTGATATCCATGTTTGTGTATGTTTGGGTATTCACATGTTTTCTTTTTGAACATACCCTTCGATACTTGGAATTTGGTCTGGGTTGTGTGGTTATTGATGAAGCTGTTAGCTGACGGATGTTTTTTTGACAAGATGAATAATTCACTTTTTAATCTTTCCAGGAGATTTGGGTGGCTCCAGTGTACATGATGGTGCAGGAGATACTGATTCAAAAAATCGTGATGGGTTACCCAATTCACACCTCTTCTTCAGGTGGGTTCTGTCAGTTTTCTTCGAAAGGAGTATATAGAAAGGACATGAGTGATCAACATTATTTTGCTGGAAATATGGAACTGTATATGCAAGACATGTTATGTTATTTGCCCCAAGAATCTGTTCTCAGACTGTGTAGGACTGCTGTGGTCTTGGGAACATTCATTTCAGATGAGGTCGGCCCTGCCATAGTGAAATTATGAATGATCATTCCCCCATTTATTGGCAGCACCAAAGGATGTCTGAGGCCCAGGCTCTAGAAAAGTTTGTATTGGTTCGTATGTTTCTGGCTTTATTTGCTTTATGCTCTACTGACGTTTTTCCATTTGTAACAGGTGACTCTGATAATACAAGCTAAATGCTTGTGAATTTATTTACATGTTGAATTTTATATTTTATCTTCCTTGTCATTAGTTGCACTTGTAATTTATCATCTATGTTGCATTCTTCTTAGATATTAGCTATCACATGGCTTGTAAACTGTTGATTTCATAGTTTCTGACATTATAGTATTGTTTCTTCAGGTCAACAATCACAGAATCCCCTCTTGCTGCTTGGGCAATACAGTGATGAAGAAGTGGATGAGGGATCAAGTAAAGAGGATAATGATGCTAAGGATCAGAGCTCCATCTTGAATGAAGAGGTATTCTACTACCTGCGTTTATGTTTTAACTTTTAAGCCAAAAATTTGTTTCTCCTTATCAGAGATCAGTATGTTGCTTATACTAGTGTTTTTGATCTTAGTAATTGTCCTGTTTAACTCTCCTATGATGGAGGAGGTTGTGACAATGCTGAGCCTCTCACAAATTTTGCCATATGTATGTTTGATGGATTAGGCGTTACACACTGGTGGTATGTATCACTGATTAGTCTAATGCTAAATCTTGTACTAACAATGATGTGCTCTGTTTGTGTCAGGCTAAGGTTTCACCTGAAGAAGGACCCCAAGATTTCGACATCAATGTTTCTGAAGATCATATTGCTCAGACCGATGGTCCACAGGGATTATCACAAGATTCTACTTTTGAAGTTGAGGGCTGCAATAAAATGGAAGGTGATGATGCTGCTGGTGGTTTGGAAAAGGAAATGCTCTCCAAAGAACAAACGTCTGTTTTTGGGATTTCCAATGAACAAGTTACTGCTGACGTTAGTATGGGGTGGAAAATGGTATTGCATGAGGAGAGCAAACGCTATTATTACTGGAATGTTGTAACTGGAGAAACTTCCTGGGAGTGCCGCATGGTTTGTCTCAGGCAGCTGAGCTGGTCTGTGACCAGACAACTCTTGCTTCTGTCAATAATAACTTTCAGAGTGCAGCTGTTGGTGTAGATAATTCAAAAACATCCTCTGCTGTAGCGCATGACTCTTCAGCTGCTCTAGCACCCGATGGTTCTTAAGGACCCAGTGATTTCTAATGGAGGAGCATACACTTGCGAGCCCCAGACTAATGGATGGGATGGAGAATGTAGGAATGATGGTCTTTCAAGTGCAGCATATGGTGCCGACCATTTATTTGTTTCAAAGCTTGGCATGGAAGAACAAGCGGAGAATAATTTTCCTTCTCGTCTTGTTCAACAGAGTGAGAGCTTATTAGAGAGGCTTAAGTCGCTTGAAAAGTAAGTATATATGCGTTGTTGTCTGGCTTCCTTTTTGTATGGTGTTTTGTTTTGATTTAGTAATTTATTTAGTTTTTGGTCAGAGATTTGTTTCTTGCCTGTTTTAATGATCAAATTATGCAGGTCAAGGGGCATTCTGCAAGATCAGGATTCCTTGTCAAAATATATTTTGGAGATTGAGATCAGGCTCTCTGATTTTAGGTCTCTTGCATCCCATGGATCATCTTTGCTTCCGTTCTGGGTGCATTCTGATAAGCGGATTAAGCAACTTGAAAGTGTAATTAATAACGACTTGTTGCAGACTTTTAAGTCAGCACGGGACGAAGTTGAGGATGCATATGTCCATGTCTCTGAAGGATTGGATGGACATCAAAAAGGCATTGGACATGAATTTGAAGTGGATGATGCTGAGAACAAAAACTTTGTTACTTCTGAATTTTCTAATTCTTCTCAGGTTGATGGTTCAGTTTTAGGTGATCAAGATACATGCAATGAACCTCCTATAAATGCTGAGCACATTCCTTCTGCGTCATCTCCTGGTAGCCAGTTGGAAATTGGGGGAGGCTACAATAAAAATGTTGATACTATGGTACCTCCCGAGGAATTAACTCATACACATGGGTCTAATGTTGGAGAAGATGTTGATATGGATGTGGACATGGAAGTTGAAGATTTGAATTCCTCAGGCAATGTAACTGTGGTAGATATGCCTGTGATGAAGGGTTTTGTGCAAACAGAGCAATCAGTGCAGGGGAATCTAGCTGCTGACCACCATTCTGTATTGCCAGAGGATGAGTTTGTTGTTCCTCCTCCTCCAGATGATGAATGGATACCTCCACCACCACCTGATATTGAACAGGTGCCCCCTCCACCCCCACCTGATGATGAACAAATGCCCCCTCCACCACCTGATGAGCCATCAGTGTCTACATATACTGCTGTCCCTTCTTACCCAGAGGCAGGGCAGTCCCTTTCTTACCCACAATACAATCTAGCTTATCCGGGTGCTAGCTCCGAGTATTATGGACATGCAGCTGCTGAAATCCCAGGCAGTACCATATATGGGCATGCTGAAGGATGTCAAATTGCTATGCCACCTGCGCAGCTATACTATAGTGCTGTTCCCATTTCTTATGGTGAAAGCTCCCAAGTTATAGTTAATTCTGCAGAGCCTGTACCCTATTATGAGCATCAAGATGGTACGTTACCTGTCCCACTGGTAGCCAGTGAAGTCCTCCAGCCTCTTGCTTTAAGTGACATGCTAGTTTCACATGATTGTCTCTTGTTGAAAATTTTCCATTAAATCTTTGCAGGAACTGATCCAAGGTCCTTACCTCATATCAATAATAGTGTCCTGATGTTACTGGTGGGGCTGACATGGCATCAGGTGATGTCCCTCCACCTCGGCCAGCATCAAAGAATCTGCTACTGTTTCGGTTAATGATGGTGTTTCACTGGTGTCAGCCAACACTGTATCTGCTGCTGGCAGTACTGCCTCATCATCAGTTGCTAAGGTGCAAAACAAAGGTGAATTTCTGAATATGTTGAGCTTTGCTGGCTTGATTGACTTTTCATAGCATCCTGCTACTACCTAAGCTGTCAAAGTTTAGTGAGCCTGATTTATTGGTCATTTGACAATTTTTGGCTTCCTTTGTCTGAGCATATGCCTTTCCGTGTTGGTTGTAGGTTTAAATCATGTGAGTATTGTTGAACTAGTCTTAATGAGTCTATCCATCTCCTCGTTTCTTTCTGCATCTTTTGATTGTGACCAGAATGGTGTGCATGGATCTGGAATTTGGGATGCTATTGGTTACAAACTTAAATATTTGTCTGTCTGAGTAATATACTAAATATACTTGGTGCTCTTGGTCATTCTCAGTTGTTCGTAGTAAAAAGCGTGCAGTTGCAGTTGGCTCCTCCTTGAAGTCTAATAAGAAAGTTTCTAGTTTAGTAGACAAGGTATTTTAATGTCATTTTTTTAGATGACTCGTCTTTTATTTTATTGCTTTTGAAAGTGGCTTCATAAAAAATCCTTAGCTAATTTTATCTGATTTTGTTGTATAGTGGAAGGCAGCCAAAGAGGAGTTGCTTGGAGAGGAGGAAGAACCTGAAAGTGTTCTTGAGATCTTGGAACGAAAGCGCCAAAGGGAAATAGAGGTTTGCATGTGTAACCCTCCTTTAGTAAATATTGGAGCCATCCTTTGTCCTGCTTCTCATGTTCCTTAAATTTTAGGAGTGGCATGCCAAGCAAATTGCAAGTGGAGAAGCCAAAGATAATGCTAATTTTCAGCCTCTGGGTGGTGATTGGTATGAGTCCAATATCATTTTAGTTTCACGTGCATTTTTCATTGTTCTTCAGCATGCACTGTTTTCTTTTCTTTTGACTTGTCATATGATGCACTTTATTTTCTGTAGGCGGGAGAGGGTCAAGCGAAAGAGGGCACAAGCAGCAAGGGAATCTGTTGACAAGCCACGAGATACGGTTGAGGAAATAAACAACCTGATCTGAGTGACTTGTCTAAGGATCTTCCATCTGGTTGGCAGGTGTGTATGCAGTGTTATTGAGTGCTATTTGTCCAATGGGAAATTGTTTTATATTGGAAGTGGCATGCTTCTTTACTTAAAATCTAATTTGAGTTGTCTGGATTGAAAGCATTCCAAGTCCAATTTACAAGCTAAAGGGCAGCTCTCTCTTGGCTTTGAGAATGGTCCTTCATAACAGTCTAAGACCATCTGAAGCTGCGAATAATCTTCTCATCTACTGTCACAAGCAACAATTCTCCAGCCCAATTTTCTTCTTGAAGAGCAATTTGAATAGCCCTATTAAGCAAGATCTCTTTCATTTTGGGCGTTTTTCCTTCTCTTTTAAGTGTTTTTATTACTGTTTTTCCTCAATGTCATTTCCCTAGCCGTCTTTTCTGGGGTGGGTTTACTCCTTGTAATCTAAGCCTTTATTTAGTACATTGCCCCTTACCCTCCAAAAAAAAAAGAAAAAAGAAGAAAGGAGCTTTCTTCAACACAAACACTTGGGTTCTGCTTTATCAGTGCTTCCTTACCTTGTGAGGATAAGATACCTCTTTGTAAACTTCTTGACACTTTGTGCACTCGGTTTTATAGCCTTAATGTAGTTTTCTGTTTAAGGTTTGAACTAGCAAACAAGTGCGACACTTTTAGGTCTCCTCTTTGTTGATTGACTGTAAGGGGTGTCTGATCTGAGCCTCCTGCCCTCTCTATATCTAATTTCAAAAATTTTGTCTTTTCAGGCTTATTGGGATGAGACCTCAAAGCAGGTTATTATGGTAATACCATTACTGCTGAGACAACATGGACTAGACCAACGAAATGAGCAGTGATCACGGGTCATTGTACAGAAAAGCACCATTTAGGCTCGAAGCTTAGACCTTTTAAGAAGCCTGCGGGGCAGCTAAAGGGAAGCCCCCTTTGAAGGTTATTTATCTAGTAATTTAATCATGTAACTCGCTGAATTTTTGATATAGTGCTATCTTGCTTGTAACGACAATGAAGGTGGATACTGTCATGGGATGCTAGTGTTGTTTAGGTGGGGGATCTAATCATCGTAACAGAAAAGCTCTGAGCTCTGTCGCAATAGAGAGGTTTAGGCCTTTGCATTTTTTACCAGAAATATTAATGGTTTACAGTCTTGAGCTGTAATCGATTATTTTGTTTTGGGCCAACCGGCAACAATCGAATTTGATAGAGTTGGCAATGTGAGCATGAGGTGTGAATGGAGTTCAGTATCTTGATGATGATAGTGGAAATGGGCGACTGTGGGGCGTAAAAACTGGAAATTCTGCTGGTCCTTTACAAGCTCGATCGAATATGTGAAATGGTTGGTGTAATTCTAGCAGCGTATTGGAATATAATTTTATTGAGGAAAAAATTATGCTTTATATCTAGTATGTCAAGTTAATTATATATGGCAATGTGTGCGCGAATTTATATTTAACTTTTTAATTAATATTAATATTTGAAAAGCAGATATGGTTGATATAATTAATATAAAGGGCTTGATGTTAGTATTGGTAACTTAGGTTTGTGATGTGTTGAGTTTACTTCGAAAACTCTCTGGCCATTTGTCTCGTGTCTGGAAAAATCTTTCATTTCCTTTTTGGAAGAAAAATCGTGTATAACAGGAGTCTAATAGACATGACACGCAATAATATATTTTGAAAGATCAAATCTTTAATGGTACAAGTTCATGCGGCATGCTTGTCATTCTAATAAAATCAAGGGTTAATTAATCTGGAAGTCCTTATAGTTTTAACTAATTTTGAATTAGGTCCTTATAGTTTTTTTTCTTTTTATCAGGTCCTTATACTTTCATCTATTTTTAATTAGGTCCTCGCATTTATTTTTCTTTTTATTAAGTCCTTATAATTTCACTAAAATTTTAATTAGGTCCATCTAGTTTTAATTTTTATTTATTAATTAAATATGAACTTAATTAAATAAATTAGTACTGAAATATAAAATATTAATAATTATATAATAAAAGATAAGTAATATAATTAATTAATTAAGGAAATTTTTTTAAAACAATTAATTTTTTTGCTAAAAAAATAAAATTATTATAATAATTCATTATTTTTAGAATATTATTGTTTATAAACTAATATTACATAATATACTATTTTATGTTTATAAAATAGTACTATTAGAATTTATAAAAGAAAGAATAAAAAATTCAGGGACTTACTTAAAAATAAGGTGATCTTATAAGGACTTGATAAAAAGAAAAATAAATGCAAGGACCTAATTAAAAACAGGTGAAAGTATAAGGATCTGATAAAAAGAAAAAAAATTATAGGGACCTGATTCAAAATTGGTTGAAACTATAAGGACTTGCAGATTAATTATCCCTAAAATCAAATACTAAAGACATTAACGTTGTCCCTAATTTCTCTAATGTGAGGCCCAATGCAAATGGGTGGAATCTCAGAGGTATCACTAGTTGACCTGAATTTTACTCTGTATTGTAAAGATCTATTGTCTTTGCCTCTGAAGGAGAAAAACAAATTGAGAACGCGGATATACTCTACAGAGAGCTTAGATCTAGGGCTGTGTAAAATCCAGTTGTTCGGTATGATCTGGTCCAACCCGAACAAATCCAATCTAGTCCGGTTAAGAAAAAAAATTGACCCGAAACAAGATTGGACTAGATTGGTCTCATCGGGTTGGACTCGACTAGGGACTGGCCCCTCAAACTAGTTGGTCCAATCCAGTCTAGCCTGGTTTTTTTAATTATTATTTATATAATTTTAATTTGATTTAATTTTCCTATATAAGATTTTTGTCTATTCAAATAATCAAGATTTATCTATTAACTTCCTAAGTAATGAGCATGCGTATATACTTTCTATAATATAAGATCTATATTAACAAGGATAATTAATAAAACATGACATTACTGGAAAAATTGAAAGGGAATGATCAAATTTGATGAACTTTCAATTAAAATATGTGCAAAATTTTACATAATAAGTTATAATCTTGTCTCCTATTAAAGAAAAAATTTAAAAAAAATTAAATTTAGATCCTGGACTGTTTGGATCAGTCCAGGTAGTTCAGAGGACCAAGTCTAGTCCAACCCGACCTGGGGTTGGTACTGGACTGGACTAGACCTCAGGCTGTCTTTTTAACCCAAGGTCTTTACTAGACCAGACTTCGGTTGATAACAAACCCGGTCTAGTCTGATCCATACACACCCCTACCCAGATCTAAACTTGGGGTCTCGAGGCTAGTGCCATTGGACTCGGATGCTTAGTTTTTAAATTTAATGTTCTATGGATACTTTCAAGCTATAAAATATGTATTGATCTTTCTAAGCTTCTTGAAACTTAGTGTGCATAAGTTTTTTACCAAACAGAATAAAAGGCCAACAAATATTACTCTGATTTTAAACATAGGAGTTACATATTTAATTTATCAATGCTAAAAAAATAGTTGATTAGTTATTTATAAAAATATATGATTTTAATGTACTTTTTTTAATCAATTGGATCAAAACTACTTATTTAATAGATAATCCTTTGAATATATACAATTAGTAGATAAAGTTAGTAAAAAAAAAAAAATTTGTCTAAAACAACCTCCTTTGTTAGGGCTTACATTTTTGACAAGAGGGAGCATATGAGATTATGGCTAAGCTATTTCCACATCAAGTTATAACATATTAATAAAGTGAGTGGAATCCAAACTGTGGTTTGAAGAATAGCTTTTAAAAAAAAACTATTTTGAGAATAGATTTTGAAGAAAAATGGATTTGTAAACAAAAGTAATTTGATAAATGAGAATGTTTGGATAATTATTAACAGAATCATCTTTTCATGTGCAAATTACTAAAATAGACATAAATTAATATTATAATTATATAAAAGATAGATTCTAATTTATATTATTGTTGGAAATAATAAATTTGTAAATAATATATATTTTCCAACTTAATAAATGATATATGAAAAATATAAGTAGTTGATAATTATTATGTGTATATATATTTATAAAATATAAGATTAATTATGTTTTTAGAAAAATGATTATTTTATCTTAAAGATTTTAAACATGAAATCCCATAATATTTTGAGAATAATTGAATAAATATATAGAGCAAGGACAAAACTTAGGTCAAGTTAATTAGGTTCATTATGTCTATGTTTCCAATAAGATTGTGCCACCTATACAAGTTTTCATTTAACCCCAAGTTCTCCATCAAACCACCGTTAGTTCTCGAAAAAAGTTTTTTTTTTTCCCCCCCTTAAGAGCTTAATGATTGATTTCAAATAATGGGTTCCTCTTCTCTAAACGCTGCAATAATGCATGGACGCACCCTCGCAACGTTGCTCTTCAAGATGGTTTCGGGTTGTTTCCAAACGTAAGGGTATTTTTGTCTACATGAGTTAGCACTTATCCCAACCACCTTTAACATCCTCAAAAG